TGCTGAGGGAGTAACACATTCAGTGTGTCAGTAAAACGATCATTTTGAGGATTTGTTTGTGCTTTCTCTCAAGGGCTTCTATGCAAAATTTGTTCAGTTTACAGGTTAAAATGATTTCTCCTTATTCCCAACTGCTAACTCTATACATTCACTTTGGGATCAGAAAATGTATTCTTTTCTTTTACTCATGGTCTTCATTAGGTAAAATTATGTTATGCACATTATGACTTCAGTGACATCTGTACACCCTTCCATGAGGCTATCCCCTCAGTAAAGTGTAAGGCATTGGGGATACACAGGTGTTACTGGACTTAAATTGATGATGATGCATGAGAAGTAAAGAACCCAGATTAGCTTTCATATCCTGGAGCTGAGTTAACCAGGTTGGCAGTTAGAAAAACAGGATTTTTTTTCAACTTTTCAAATTGTTTTTGGTAACCCAAAAATAATATTAATGTGTAATACAGACCCCTACAGAGATCCTTTGCAAGAAAAGAACTCCCTTAAGAATCTGGGAATTACCAGTGACTGTGAAGCTACCCACTTGTATGTTCAGCATATAGACTAGATAAATTATAAGGACAGTAGGGGTCAAGTGATTAGAGGGGAAAACTCAACTGCTGCTAAGTGTTTAGTATAGAATGTGTTGAATCAATCACTTAGAAAATTTACTTGACCTCCTTTGGCCTGCTTAACATTGAACAAAAGGAGCAACTTTTGCTGCTTCTGAGCATTCCTGTTAAGACGAAGGTGGTACAGCCTCAGAAAGGTTGTAATAACAGTTGAATGTAATTACAGTTCAGGTGATATTGAAAATTTGTCTCTGTAGGTGAGTTGATGCTTGGAGCACTTACTATTCATGTTGTGAACACTCTTCAAAAGTACAAGTACAACTGGAGCTAGATCCAATTAAGGATTTAAGTGACTAAAAATTAGATGTTTCTGTATCCAACATTTAGGTGCCTGGGCCCGAATACTCAGAAGTATTTATTTACTTAACTCCTTTTTAGGGGGCTAATGCTCATATATTTTACTGAGGTTTTATTTTAAAGGACCTGCAACTATATCTAAACATACTTGGAATCTTAATATACAGATCATGTCAGACACTGGTGAATGAGATTAGCAATATGCTGTAGCATTCTGGCCAGCAGAATGGTCTGCAGAAACCTAACCAAATCCTTTTTTGAATTCATCTTGAAAATTCAGTTATCAGAGTTTCTTCTATAGGAAACTACCAGTAGTTGACTATCATCTTTTTGCCTGTTTCATTTATCTGTGTCCCAGGTGAAATATTCCTCTCAATGGGAAGATGGAAATGAAATAGCATGGTGCTGTATTTTCTCACATACCACACTCCCCCAAATAAAACACACACCTTGGTTTTGGGACACAGTGGGTACATCTACCCGAGATGATTACTGTAGACTAATTAGCTCTGTAGTAAACATCTTGCATGGACACATGCACCCCTATTAGGGCACAGGAAACTAACCAACTCTGCAGCAGGGGAGTACTTGTAAATAAAAGTACTATCCTGCTATGGAGTTTTTTACTCTGTAGCACTGTGTGTGTAGACACTGACACAGGTGGCTAGGGCGTGCGGGTTTCAGAGTTTTATAGTAGCTAGGGTCGGGAGGGACCTGAACAGATCATCTAGCCTGACCCCCTGCCACAGGCAGGAATGAATGCTGGGGTCACAAGACCCCAGACAGGTGATCATCCAAACTCCTCTTGAATATGACCAAGGTAGGGGCGAGGACCACTTCCCTGGGAAGTTGGTTCCAGATTTTGGCCACCCTAACTGTAAAATATTGCCTTCTGATCTCCAACCTAACCCTATTCTCCATCAGCTTATTACCATTGTTCCTCGTCACCCCAGGCGGTGCTGGGGAGAAAAGAGCTCTGCCTATTTGCTGTTGATCCCCCTTGATGAGCTTGTAGGCAGCCACCAGGTTCCCCCCTCAGCCTCCTCTCGCTGAGGCTGAACAGGTTCAGGTCCTTCAGTCTCTCCTCGTAGGGCCTGTCCTGCTGCCCTCTCACCAAGCGGGTAGCTCTCCTCTGAACCCTGTCCAACCTGCCTGGGTGATTCAGTACAGGGGCTGCATGCTGGCTAGCCATACACTGGAGCACCCTCATGCCCCAGCCAGCCCCTCCGCACCACATTGAGCCAGGTTGGAGCAGCCTAGGACTGGCAGGCTGATGCCCCAGGCCCTGTGCCACCTGGGGCTACTCTGACCTGGCTCAACATGATGCGGTCCTGGGAACGCATGCAAATACAGCACCTGAGAGCAATAAACTCCAGCCCAATTTATTGCGTCACCTTAATAGCACATGTAGGCACACCCAGAATGTAGCAGAAAAGCTTTTTGCAGTCTTGTCCCGGAGCTGGATTTTTCATGGAGTGGCTAGCTTCTTTCTGGGACAGGAAGCAGGAAAGATAAAGTCTAGAATTAACTTTTGCATAGCAGCTCTCAAATTGAAAAGTCTGGCTACCTATTTGGCTGCTCAGCCAAAAACTGTTGCCAATTTGGGAATGCGTGTGAAAGAGTTAACACTGGACGTCACTTCTACTTGCTGCCTGAGGGAGAAGCAGGTAGCTATCTTGCAACACTGCCTCTTAATACTTCTGTTGCAGCAAGGAAAAAAATTAGCTCCCCCCCCTTAAGGCACATCAACTGTAGAGGGGAGATTTTGGGGGGAAAGGCATGTATTGCATGCAAACAAATATGGTGTATAAGAGTCTGACTCACTGGAGATGAGTGGGCTGGTTGTTCAGTAGTGTTTGCTTCAAAAACAGATAGATTTGTGTCATTAAAAAGACCCAAAGTCAGGCTGATCATTATACCTCTAGCCATGAGGTATCCAGGTAGTTAAAACGAAGAAAACATATATTTACAATGCATTGCCCTGTCTTAGGAGCAGCTTGAAACAAACAAACAAGAAGTAGCTTTAACAATAACCCCCTTGAAAACTGAGGAGGGGTTTCATATGATCAAGTGCAGTTGAGCTGCTCTTGTGAAAAAAACAAAACAAAACTGAAGCACCTGAACTTTTCATCAGAGGTGCATCATTGAAAGCCCTAAAATGAGAATATCCATGGGGGGGCCAGAAGAGAAAAATGAGGAATATTACTGCGCCATTTTGGGTCCCTCTGTACTTTGGAATATTTCTGTCACTGAATATGGGAGATTACTCTGATCTTGCTGTTATTAAGATGAAAGCTCTTACTATAATTACCACATGAAAGAATTTACTCAGTTTTTTTTCAAGAGCCATGAGAACAATTAGACTGATTAGAGCAAAACAGCTAATAGAGTCTGAATAGTCTACATCAGCAAATTACCCAGCATGTCTTTTTCTTCTATGCTTCTATGTCTGGCAAGGCCATAGCTTGAAAATTACTTATAGATGCAAAGGCATATACAAAATGCATTTGTTAATAGTGTGGTTAATGTTATTTGTTGTGACGTATTGGTTTACGGTTTAGGCAGGAAGTGTTTATACCCGATGAGCTGATGAACAGCTGACCCTGCCCTGCCTCCAACTTTGTCCACATTACACAACAGCAGGAGCAATGCTGCCAAGGTCTTTGCTAGTCTTTACCCCTTCTCTGTCTACTGGAGGCAGCTAGAAGATATCTGTGAAGTATTAGGCCCCAGTAGATTCAGTAGTTGTCCCTGTGACTGATTCAGCAGGGTAGCTTGGCACCCTCAGAACCAGTGTTTGTGTTCCCTATCTCAAAGTAGCAACAGTAGCTAAATGTTCCTCTGCGCCCTGCTACACTTCCAGATTAAAGCTGGATAGGAACCAGCTATAAAGTTGTTACACCTTTTCAAGCACTGGTGTTGTAGCAGTTTGGCTCTTTTTAGAGCTGAACAGTCATTTTTATGATGTAATAATTACTCTGCACATGTGACTGGTCTAAATTTCTTATGCAATTAACCAGTTAATTATGAGATAATTGCTTTGTACTTGTGGCTGGTCTTATTTTTCATGTGTGGCTGGTCTAAATGTATAGCATGATTAACCAGTAATATACGTAAAATGTAGCAGGGGCCTCTGTTTTGCATTTCCATCCTGTTTTGTTATTCTCTGTTAAATAGGAGGGTCCTCAGGGCAGTAACCAAAGGAGAAATTGCAATTGGGAAATCTGACAATGGAAGAAACATCAATTCAGCAGCTGAAACCCAAAGTTTGCATAATGACAAGCCTACTCCTTATTCAGACAGGTAAGGAACAGAACAATCTGATGATAATTCAGTAATAGCTTGAGCCTTCAGTTCCTTCACAGTCTTGTGAACTACTTTGCACTCTTCTTGAGTCCTGTGTGTCAGGACTGGCTGACAAACAGGATTTTTCTCTCATGGAAATATTGTCCCCTTTTTGCTCAAAAACAATTTGTGATCAGCAGGGATCCTGGTTTTCTCTGTTAAAGAAAAATCCTCAATTTTTTAATTTGCCCCCCTCCTGCCCCCATCCACATTTTTCCATGAATAAAATTAAACAGCATATATGTATATGTATAGTAGTGTTTCATCCTGATCATGGAAAAATGTAGATTTGGATTAGTTTTTTTAATCCAAAAATTGGGGATTTTTTTATTGGAGAAAACCAGGATCCCTGGTGATCAGCCACACTCAGGAGCTTTCCAGACTGAGTCCTTAATACACAAATGTGAATTTACTTGACAAAAAATCAGTTGTAAAATGTTTCACACCCTCTCATGTCTTTTCATGATGATAATTCTGATCATTTTTAATACAATTCTTTGAGCAGTTTTTCCTGGAGTAATGACTAGTGGTATGCGAAGCAGACCCTATTCGATTTAGATTCTGCCTGTATTGGGGACAGTGTTTTGATTTGTTAATTCAGATCACTGACCCTGATTTGATTCGGCTGAATCTGAATCTGAAGATTCAATGCTAATTTGGAGAATCAGCGATTCAGACGTAGACACAGCTTTAAATGTTTTTTCTACATACCTCGAGGTACCAGTGCGGCTTGTGATTGCTGTGATGCTGGGGTGCATGGAGCATCCCACAGGAGTGTTGGGAGGCCCTGTGTGCTCAGTGGCGAACCCAGAAGCGGACCGGAAGTACTTCTGCGATTGGCTGCAGGGGGACCCCAGGTGTCCTCCCAGGCCCAGGAAGCACTAGTCGCTGAGCCAGGGGAGCGCAGCGAGGCTCCCCTGTGCTCCCTGGCAGATCTGGAAGTGGACCGGAAGTGCTTCTGGTCCACTTCTGGGTGTGCTGTCGAGCACTCTGGGGAGCCCCCTGCACTTCTGTGGGACACTCCATGCGCCCCAGCATCGCAGTGTTCATGAGCCACCTGCTACCTAGAGGTGTGTAAAAAACAAAAAAAAAACAAAAAAAAACAAAACCCCCAAAAAACCAAAAAACAATTAAAGCTGTCTCTGTGTCCGAATCTCTGAATCGATTTGGAGGGTTCCAATTCAATTCAGAGAGATTAAAAGGTCCTCTGATTTGATTCAGGTTCAGAGATTTGGCCATTGAATTGAATTGAATTGAATCAGGGACCGAAGCTTTGCATGGCCCTAGTAATGATCCTGTATTGCTATTTATAAACAATACTTTTGGGAGTATGTAACAATCAGAATTTAAGTAATTGATATATACTACCTCTCTTACTCAGTTTGAGTAAGAGAAGGCTGGGAGGTCACCTGATAGCTGCCTACATGTACATCAAGGGTGAGCACTAAGACTTAGGTGAGCATCTCTTCAGGAAAGCATCTCAAGGGAGGACAAGGACCAATGGACATAAGTTTATAGAGGGTTAATTCAGGCTAGATGTAAGGAAGAACTTCTCTGTAAGGGTTGCCAGAATCTGGAACACACTCCCAGCAGAGGTGGTGCAGGTACTGTCCTTGGAGATGTTCAAGAGGAGTCTGGACAGGCACCTTGTTGAGCTTGTCTGAGCCCAATAACTTCCTACCCATGGCAGGGGACCGAACTTGATGATCTTACAGATCCCTTCCGGTTCTACAAATCTGTGATTTTTACCTTTCTCCTCCTTTTTATCTGATCATTTATTTTGGACATAGACCAGTTTTCTTTGCTGAGTGCTCGTTGTTTCATCTACCTGGGAATTTTACAGTCTGGATTGAAATATAGTCTATCTTCATTCTGTCTGCAAACAGAAAGTTCTAATATTAAATAGCAATATTCCTTGTTTTGAAACAGATATACAGTAAGGACACCTAAATGGTTATTTTTCCTTATTTTCTGGAGGTGAAAATGGTATGTCAATGGAGATGAAACTATGAATTTTGATAGAACTGGCTGTTTGTTTTGATGCCTAAAATGAGAGTTAAAATATTTTAAAAAGCTAGTCCTGGATGATTGGAACGAAAATGAAATAATACTTGTATGCATTCAAGAACAAAGATAACATTCAAAAATAAAACTTCCAAGCTATTAATATTAACATTGGTTTGAATCTTTATTGCTTTGGTAACTGAAAGGTCTTGGTTGAAAAGAATCTAGTGTTGATTAATGAATTACATGTGAGTCTTGTAATTGAAATCTGAAACCTATTTCCTTCCTTGCTTCTGAATTATATTTTAGGCAATAATTATTAATTGTTCTGCAAGACATATAAGGTTGATGCACAGTCTCCCTGAAGATTCAGAACCTGCTTTTATTCACTCTGAACAGTATGCTGCACAGATCTATCTCACTAGCCAGACAAACACTAAAGCTGTTTCTCATCCAGAAACACAGTTCCATGGTTTCCTTTGGGTAATTGGACCTTTTGTACACAGCAGTGATTCATGCCTCAGTGTTTTGTTAGAACAGAATGTGTATTTTTGTTCTTTCCTTTTTATTTTTTATCAGTACTTTTTCTGCTAAATTGGAAGGATTGGGCATGACAGAAAGCTTTGCATTGAAGACCAGGACTATCTTGCTGCTTAGCACAGGTTCTTTTTGTAGTCTCTGGAGGTTAAGCAAGTAGTAGACTGCAATGGGTTTTTTTTCTTTAGTTTGTTTTTTGTCAAACAGAATAGTCTTTATATTGGGTGTTCAAGGAGTCCTGTGATGAACATCCTACAAAAATTCAGAGAGATGGATAGGGTGAACTTATCTGTAAATATCTGAACCTTCAAAAAGACTTTATCTGGAAATATCTACCTTTGCCCATCACTACAGCCTCACCCTGCCAAGGTAATGGCCTGTGTCAATAGAGATATTCAAAGCACATGTTGACATATCCGTGTGTTCAGGATGGATACATTATCTTACAACCTGCAGAAACTGAACTCATAAGGCTATGCTCTGTGGAATAGCTAGTAAGCAGAGCTTGCTGTTTTCAGGATGGGATTTTATTCATACCTTTTTAAATTAAAAAGCACCAATACGCAAACATGAGATTCTGTGATGTATCTACAGTCTACATTATTGTTAATTTAAGAAGGTAAATAGTGATTACTAAAAACAAGATAAAAGATCATTTAATCTTCCTTTACATCTTTTTGGATTTGAAACAATTTAGAAAAGCATCTTGAGACATCAAGGGTCCTGATTTTTTCTGTATATTCCTTAGGGTAATTTGACCTTTGCTTTCAGCATAAGTCTGTAATCCACAAAGTAAATAGGAAAGTGAGAGAGAGGGCACATGCACTTATTCTTTCCAAACATCTTTGGTTTGGGGGAAGTTGCATTGGGCTTAGAAGCGAAAAGTCATGGGCTTGTCATCCACTAGTTTGTCCCCATCTCCAGCTAACACGTAGGAGGTTGCAAGAGAACATGTCTAGCAAAAATAGCAAAAGGCATTCTTCCCCAAGAGCTCTGGAGGTGTGGTGTAGATGGCTCCAGAGACAGGTGACATAGATGATCAAGGGCTTGGAAGGGAAGTCATACAAAGAGAGGCTGAAGGAGCTAGGTATGTTCAGCTTGCAGAAAAGGTGCTTAAGAGGGGACGTGATAGCAGTCTTCAAATACTTGAACGGTTGCTATAAAGAAGAGGGAGAACACGTTTTCTGTCTTGCTGAAGAGACTAGGATGTGGACCAATGGCTTGAAATTGCAGCAAAGTAGGTTTAGATTGGATATCTGGAAAACTTCTTCACAATTAGAATAGACTGCCTAGGGCAGCTGTGGACTTTCCATCACTTTTCCATACATGTCAGAATTTTTTATTTTGTTTTGTTTTTTTAAACCTTCCTCAGAGGCATTGGACATTGGCTACAGCCAAGTCTGGTGATTTTGACTGGGGTGTGCCAGTGCTCCTGCTTGGACTTAAAGCCAGAGGTTCCTGGCTAGGGTCTTGCCCCACTGTTCAGGGTCAGACTGATCGCTATATTTGGGGTCAGGGAGGAACTTTATCCCATGATCAGATTGGTGTGGACAGTGAGTGGACATGGCCCCTTCCTCTGTAAATGAGGCCATGTCCCTCCACCTGGGATCTCTTGAGCATATGTTAACAACCCTTTACACGAGCAGGATTTTGGCTGTGGTGATCCTCCTACTTGACCTGTGGAAGGTCAGCATTTTATGTCGTGTCAAGGTTGACAGTAGTTTTAATAAGAGATTATATGATGGATTTATAGAAAATGGTTTGGATAGGGATGATCCTGCCTCAGGCTGAGGGTTGGACTCGATGACCTATGAAGGTCCCTTCCAGTCCTGCTGCTCTATGATTCTATGATTCCCAGTGTTTTGCTATTGTCTATTAAATAAACCAGTAAACCAGTGGCAAAATGGGCAGTCTCCCCCTCTGAAACTTGACCCACGTAAGGGTAAAGGAGAAAATAGCCTCATGTGGCAGATGTCTGCCTTGTAGATTTGGATGTCCTGAATCAAAATCCATCTGATGATCCATGTTGGGGTTCATGTACCTGCACTTTTTCCATGTTTACCTACTTTTCTTTTTAAACAACTTTTTTTGGGTAACTCAGTGAGAACATCCTTAATCACAGGTTTTGTAATTAAGTCATTACCATTTTTCATTTATGATGTCATGCAATAAAATCCAGGTGCTCCTTTTTTGGTTTTGTCATACAATAGCAGTCTTAAATGCCAATTGGTAGGAGTGTGCATGTCCAACAGCAGCAATAAAGTGCCAGTGACAAAAAGTGATCTTAGTTTTCTCCCTTAACTGCAGTGAATCTTTATAGAAGTACATGGGGCAGAACAAGACCAAAAGATTGTGCTTTGACATTTTTTTTTCATAGCAAACGCATAAAGAAATTGAAGTCGTCTCTGGCTCCAGGATTCTTCAAGGCTATAGGACAGGGGTGGGCAAAATAAGGCCCGCAGGCCAGATGGAGCCTGCCAGCTGATTGTATCTGGCCCCTGGGTGGGCAGCCACAGAGGCCGCAAAGGCATGGGATCTGGCCCACAGGCAGTCAGTGGCTCTGCCTGCTGGGTCATGCCAGGCATGTCTCAGCCCCTTTCAGAGCTTACACAAGCTCCTGCCCTGTGCGCCAGAAGCAGCACTGGGTGGGCACTGGCATCAGCTGGGGACATGGCCAGCAGATTCAGAGTGGGAATTGGAGCATCCACCTGGGTCCACAGCTGACGCTGCTGCATCAGTGCATCAACTGTGGTCCCAAACAGTCACCCTTACCCCCACTGGGAACTTGCTGGTGGTGTCCGTAAATGGCAGCATCCACAGATGATGCTAGTGCCCACCCAGCACTGCTTTCAGCATGCAAGCAGGTGTAAGCTGTGGACGGGACTGGGACATTGTGGAACAGGGTGTGCTGTAGCTGCAGGGATGGTTTGGGTGGGGAGAGGAGAGGGAGAGAAATGTGGCCTGTGAGAGGACACAAAACTCATTAAGTGGCCCTCCAACTAAAATGGCTGCCCACTCCTGCTACAGAACATAGAGGCTATCAGAGGTAGATCCAAGGAGGGGTGAGGTGGTGCGGTTGAACCCCCCTTTGATTCCTGCTCCCCCCAAACTTTAAAACCAAATGCTTGAGAGGGGCAGCCACATGTTTATTCAAGCTGAGACAGACAATCGACTTTATGGCTCACTGTCATCTCCTTGTTTCTTGTTAATTTTCCTGTACTCCACAAGTGTTAACAACCTTCTATCCTTTTTAATGCTCTTGATGCTCCACTATTCAAGCTATCCTTTCTTCTGAAACTGTGCTGTCTGTTAGCCATTCCTGGTGCTGTCTTTCTTCTATTTCACAGCCCTGCAGACTGTTTTTAGCACTAGCTAAAAGCCTTAACTCATGGGTGATAATATTAACTCAGGTGTAGAAATTGTTTCATGTGACCCTGTATGGGTAATCAAGGAACTTAGAGGCTGTCCCCCTGCTTAATATAAACAGTGTCTTTATTATAGCAGTTTCTTACAGAGTTATTTCAGGGCCTACTCTTCTCCCCCAGCTTCTCTAAGTCTCTTGTTTTTTCTGTCTCCTCCCCCTCACTTCGTGTTCCTCCTTCAGACTCTTCCTTACTGCTGCTGCTGGTTTTACCTCTGAGATCCATACATATTGTTACAGAAATGAATGACAATGAAATATCGGTGTCATTGTCAAGGCACTCAAGAAAGCTAGATTTTGTCTTAAGAATCTGTCTGAGAGACATGCATTTAACTATAATGGCTACAGGACTAATGACACAATAACTTTTGACTATTTTGACTCTTTGTTGTGTTTATTTTATTCTGTCAAATAGTTATAGTTATATTTGTTTTTGCTTTGATCTTACATGGAGTGATATAATGCTAGCCCTCTCAACATATCGTTAAAGTATCTAGTTTCTCTTTAACTGAAGAAAAATATGTGTTGTGTTAAACATGATGATATGCCACACCATCTACATCCAAAATCCTGGATCCATGTATAGCTTTTGCCAGAATATACCATTTTCTTTGTAGTGGGAGAATATTTATGTGTTACATTTATGAGAAGAGAGAGAGATTTTTAGTCACCCAAGTACAGGAGTGGATCTAGGATTTTGAAAAGAGGGATGCAGCAGAAAGCTCAGTGGTCCATGCTCTACATAGTTGAAGGGAGGGGCAGGTTAAAAACCAGTGGCAGAGAGCTTATTTCCTATGCATCAAGACCAAAGCTACATAGTTAAGGAAGGTGTGATAGCACCATCATGCTCCACTCCACCCCTAGATTTATCCCTACCCACATACTTTGCTCCCCAAATAGAATATGTTCAATCTGAATAAAATACTGAAGTGGAGTCTGTTGTAACAGAATTTGCTAGAGGGATATAAGCTGTCATGCTCAAGAATGTTATTTGCCAGTTCAAGAGTAGTTCTGTTAGGAGTCTCTACTGTGATAAAGGAGTTGTTCAGTGCAATGACTCTGAATGTGATATGATAATGCTAGTTTTGAATTGTCAGCATTTTCTCATGAGATAAGTTCCATCCAAGAAATCCCAACTGGCTCTTTTGCTAAGTGACATGCATATTCTGTGTTTTGAACCCCATTTGTTTTTGACAGTTTGTTGACCATCAGATACACTGCCAAAACATGGTATGATTGCACTGGTCATTTAGGTCATAGAGAAATTGTCAGCCAGTTTGGGGTCTGCAGCTATTAGTCAATAGCTAAATGATAGATTATTCTCCCTCCTGAGAGAGAACAGCCAGAAGGCTTGTGAGCAACTTAGCTATGCAGAGCTAGCTGTCTCTTCTGGAGTGCTTGTTGGCACTAGATGAGTCTACAGAGAAAGCCAGAACCATGGTTATTTTCCTGATAAACTGAGGAGTAAAATGATGGCAAATGTCAACTCTGGGACCACTGCATCAGGTATTTGTTTCATTACATCTGTTACCCACATGCAGGAAAACAATCTCATGGGTTTATAGTAATGCTGTTCACCCACAAAATGCTTGAAATATTAACAGTTTGAAGATTCATACTTAAAACAATGTAAACAAACAATATTCCTAAGTAGTTCTCACTAATTCTTACCTTTCATGCGCCCAGATTCCTACAGTGCATCATGTATTATTCATATGGTGCATTATTCTCTCTTTTCCTCAGGGGGAGTACTCTTTCACTGGGTAGTAATGATGCGGAGAGCATACCAGGTAACCTGAAAGGCACAGTGGTTCCAGCAAACTGGAGTAATGTGTCCACTCCAGTTAATCAGAGATCACCAGCACCCAGTACGCATGGCATGACTCCAGATTACAGCAAGGTGAATATAGTGATGCTGCCGACTATACATGTCTCCCCTTCACACATCACCAGCACCATAATCATCCAGGTTTTTGTCACTAGTTGCCCTATCAGAGCAGTTTGCAGCTGAGAAACATCAAACTTTCTAATGATAGTTGTTTAATCCTTAATCCCATTGTGATGGAAAATCTCCCATTTTGATAGGACATAAAGCACAATGGATCCATGATTCCAAGTACAAATATTATTCTGATATTACAAATATTAAAAAACTAACTAACATACTAGCAGAATCTTTTCCATTCACACAAATTAAATTAAAATGGTATGGCCTGAGACTTCCATGTATACTATTTATGGAATATGTATTCTTCTTATTGAGCAGGAAGCTGATTTAGAAAATGGCACTTCTATGTCAGGAAGTGAAAGCATACCTGAAAACTTAGTGAAGAGGCATTGCAGAAAGGCATCTGGAACACCTTCAATTGCAGTTTCTAGGGTTTCTCTCTCATCAGGTAAGTGTTTCCCAGTACTCTGTTCTTCCTGTGAAATTCTTCTCCTTCTACCCTCTGCTCCACTCTTTCTTTCTGGGTTTTCTTTTTAAAGTACATAGTAGGTGATCAGATACAAATGTAGTTAAATTTCTTGTTAATTCTGAAAGTACCAGGCTTATAAAATGAAAAAGAATACTTTTACTTCTTTTCACATTAGAAAAAGGGTCTTTCTAACTCCATGTAGCATTACAGCCATTCTAGCAAATGATTCATTCTAAGAAAAAAATCAGTGGAAGATGTTGTGTTCATTGGCATTTTCTGAAGGTATGGACACATGTACATTTGGAGCCATTTCAAAAGGGCAACAGCTGTTACACTCCAATTGTTACTTGTGGACAAGCTAGGAACCATATAAATGTAGCAAAACTACTCCAACTTTAATTCTGGAGGAAGCAATGTTAAAATTGGAGCAGTTTTAATGTATTTGATTTGTGTCATTCCTGTCTTGTCCATGCACAACAATTATAATGTAACACCTGCTTCCCTTTTGAAATATCTCGAAATGTACGTGCATCCATACCCTCAGTCAAATGGGTCATAAACCTGACACTTTGTGGTCATTGGCACCTTAATAAAATGCTAGCATTTTGATTTTGATTATGTTTTATACCCACTTATATGGGACCAAATGACCTCAACAACATGAGCCTCTTGGTTGGATTTTGATGCCGCATAACTCTGGCAGAAGGACAGACCTACTGGTTGGGGGGTGCAGATTGTAGGAAGCCAGTAGGGAGATGATATATATGTAACAAACTGTGCTCAGAACCATTTTCCAATAGCTACTGAAGATCACCCTTTTTTAATTGAAGCTGAAAAGTCAAGAATCCCTGGATCTTTTCACTCTTCTTGGTCACTCAGTCGTTCTCAAAACCAGCCCTGTTCAGCCTTTCAGATTTACAAGCTAGTCTGGTTCACAGCGGGGCTCAGTCACTCTGTTTCACCTGGGGTTAGCCTTTACCAGAAACCTGGTAGCATATCCCACAGAGCTAATCAAAGACACTGTGTTCTTCACCTTAGATTTTTCTGCTTGAAAGCATCCATGTGTCTTTGAACAGACAGATTACAGCTGTAGGAAGAGGTCTTTTTTACTAGTTTTCTTTGTATATGGAGGGGTTTTCTCTTTCTTGTTATTTCTAAAAATAAAGATTGGGCATTAATATTTAGCTTCATATTCCTAAAGCAGATAGGAAAGTGAAGAAACATTTAGGCAGTCTGACAATGGGGGAAGGCATCTACATAGGACAGTGGATCCAGCAGATTTTTTTCTTTCTGGGGGAACTTGAAAGGGGTGACTGGGGACATCCTTCTCTTAAGCCAGCTGTAGCTACAGTTCAGGGGGTGGGGGAGGACTAACTAAATCAAAACTTCCCATGTCTTATCCTGCTAAAGAGACTGCCTTTTTCCCACCACATAGAGAAGGAAGCCACATCAGCTGTAACAATTATTTTGGGGAGAGCTAAGGGAATTGCTTCCCCAAAGCATTTGGTATTCTTATATTGTTGACCTTAAGCTGCTATGTCAGGGTACAGAGAGACATGCCTGGGACCCAGAGCCTAGAAGCCTGTGCCCATTCACCACACATAAGAAACAACAGTAGCAGACATGGTATTTTTATTATTCATTCAGCCCTGAAACCTGAAGTTATTTGTGGAAGTGAAGTGAAGGGTTACAAGAGTCCCCCTAAACATTTAGGCCTAACTAACTCTAGACCTGCTGTCTACATCCTGGATACTGTGACAGTCCAAGCAGGAGACCTTGCCTCAAAGTCAAAAGCTAGGTGGAGAGTAACCATATGACACTTACATAGTAGAGGTGCACCGATACATTGGTCCAATATCGGATAGGTACTGATATAAAGAAAATTGGCTGTATCGGAAATTGGCCTGATGCAGCTGATAGGTTGGCCGATAAATGCTCATGTGTGCGTGCAGCCGCAGTGCAGCATGCAGGCAGCAAGGAGTAGTGCCCGGCAGCTTGGAGAGCTGAGTGCAGCTGGTAAGTCTAGTGTGGTGGAAGGGGAGGGGGGAGGGAAGAGGCGTGGGGTGGGGGGGCAGATCAGCGCCCCCTGCAGTGAGGGAGGGG